ACATATGTGGTTACTTAAGGTGTTTTTGACATACAAGTCAAAATCTGAGTTTCTAAAACATACTGTGTTCCCTTGGAGTCTGTCTTCAGGCACACTGGTAGAACATATTGTAAGCCCTTGTTTTATGCACGAGTTCAAGAATAAATGGATGTATGGTCATTATGAAACAATAATAACAAAAACAAAAAACTACAAAACCAACAAAAAAAACAAAGAAAAAGCTGAAAAAAATCCAGAAAACCACCCTCCCTCCCCTACTTCTTCAAGTGACCGAGTTTTCCTGTTTAGGTAAGTAGTTTCAGAACAGTTCTTCAAGACTAATACTGGGGCCTCTGAGGTACTTGCTGGGCTTCTCTGTGGTGCTCGATTATTGATGTATGTTTTGGAGCTTGTTGGTGCTTAATTCATGAAACTTATATTTATAAATTCTGTGTTCTTCACAACTGATACTTGTCTGTTAAAAGTGCTAAATAGAGGGAGAATTAGGCCTGTATCTTGAATACCTCTCTTAACTGAGAAGTTAAATTCTAATGCACCTATTTTATGAAGAAACTGTATTGACTACGGAACTCGCATAGCTATTGAGTTTTATTGTTTCCCATAATTCTTCATTTCACAGGCTTTTATTCATTATTTCATTTCTTCATGCTATTCACAGTTAGAGAAATTTTGTCAAATATTAAATGGTTCTTATAGAGCTTGTATCTAGATGAGATGGTAGTGGATCATTAAATGACAACCAATGGCAATATGACTTTTAGATTCCTTCCTAGAAGCTTTTTTTATTTTACTAGACACTGGAGCCAAATATAGATTTTTTTTGTGTTGGTCAATTTATAGTTTCCAGATAGATAGTTTGATCAGGTTTTCTTAAATACACTTTCTTCTAAATTACTGTGATACCATTTTGGCTGGGGTTAGATGGAAAGAGATAGAAAACAGGAAAGAGAGGGTAAGCTTATATATTAGAAAGAAATTAATTCCGACATGTTACATCTTTGTAATATTCTGATTAAGTATTATTTGGTTAATATTTTTAATGGTAGTTTTGGCTGAAGAAACAGTGTTCTTTAGACACTTCTGGTAAGTGGGTGTGCTTTTATATAAATGAAATGATTGATTAAAATACTAATATGCTCCCAGTTTAAGTTTTCATGTTCAGGCATCTGGTAGTGTAGAATACCAAGAATTCCTTTGCCAGAAGGACGGAAATAGTCTGCTTTTTTGAATTACTTCGGAGAAGCAGCAACTCTTATGCCATTGCTTGCTGTGATTTACAGATTTGTGCATTCTAATCAGAAATATAAAAAGCTAGGTGTACTCATAGAATGGTTTTTCATTTCTGTAGTTACGCAGCCTCATGTACAGTTCTTCTCCCATTGGTTATTAGATTCTGATATCTTTGTATTATGTCTTTATTTCTTAAATTTTTGAGAGTTTTACTGTTCCATTTTCTTTCTGTTCTTTAATCAGTAAAAGACTACTGGTTGAAATGCAAGCACTCACTGACAGTTTCGTGGCTTGGATGATATCCCTAAACTGCCTGTTTGTCTGCAAAAGTCCTTTTTTATTTTACCACTTTGTGTAACACTAGTTGAGGCAGTTTTGTGTAAATACAAGGTAAAATGTTGTACTGCATCGACAGTGTTGAGGTAAACTTTTATTAAGACTTTCACTTCACTCCCATCTAATCAGAACAACAGATTCATTGATGTCTTAGCAACCATGGTAAAGTACACCAGAAACAGAATGAAAGAAAGATGAGGTTGTAGCATCTTGGCTTTCTTCCAGCCAAGTGATGAAATGTTGTACAACAAAGCTGAAATAAAAAGGCAGTTTTATTTCGGCTTTAATTAATAGTATGTTAATATAGCTGGTGCTGTGTAGTGCAGGTGTTGAATACCAGACTGTAATGAGAAAATGTTGCAAGGTATTGGTATCAGTTTCTCAACAAATGAACAAAACTCTTCTTTCACCTTTTTTAAAGGAAATTTCTAGTATGAGCTGCCTCTTCTTGGATTTTTTTGATGTTTAAACTAGTAGTAAAAGTGGGTGCTGAAATTTCTTGAGACCAAATGAAATGCTGATGTCGCATTACAGAGACATGCAGAAGGAGAAAGCCAGTCTTAAGACTTTTTTTGTCTAAAATTAAGAATATTAGAGAATGTGAAGAAGATCTAATTACCTGTCAATTTAGCGTAGGTGTGTTAATCATCCCAACAACTAACCACCATTATGAATTCCTGGTGCTGATTGTGTGGTGTGGGCATCTGATTATGCAAAATTATGATTAATGAGTATATAAGAAGTGGTTGCTCAGATGTACTAGCAATTGCAGTGAAACAGTTGTCAGGGGATGTAATGAAAGTTTGATTCCATCTCTGAGTGATTAGTGGTTTAGACCTCGATGGTTACAGAACTGATGGCAAAAGTATTTCATCATGGATATGAACAGCATGTGTGATTGAATGCAGGCTTGGGTGTTTGTTTTTTTGCAGTTTGTGTGGATTTTTTTTTTTTTTTAAAAAAAAAAAAAACAAAAAAAAAAAAAACAGACCAAACCAAAACAAGAAAAAATTAAACCATTGCCTCCAGGGTTCATTGGGCTTTAAATTGGAAATTTAAAAGATAAAGCAGTATCATTCCAAAAATGATGTAATAAATAAAAGTCTGATTTGAAATTTGAATCCGTTCAGATGACCTCAGTCAGTAAAAAGATCAGTGTAAGTTATTATACTCAAAATGTGATAGTATCTCTGAATCAGTACCCCAAAAATACTTCCCCAAATCAGTAATCCAAAAGAAAAAACATACATAGCATAACATAAATTCAAGAATTCAGCCTGGTGTGAGTCTCCAAACATTTGAAACTGATTGGAAGAAAACCCACAGAAAATAATAAAGTGGGAGTGATATTCTGATTCTCTAGAATCTTTGTCTGCATCATTTTACCATTAGGAATAGGAAAGAAAAGCTTTTAAATCAGCCAGAATCAGATTGATTCATAAAGCAAACAGGAAACGTATTATGAGGCAAGGCTTCATACTATGATAGACATCCAGGGAAACTCATCGTTGGCAGTCTATTTGTCTTTGGCTTAGGGGGTGGAAACTCTGGTTTGTCTCCCTGGGTAATGTATGGAATCCTGTTTGTATTCCAGTGCAGTTTATATGGCCTTGGGGAGCAAAGTCTGATCTTAAAATTAGCTGTAATTTTTGCTGATCAGATAATGGTATGACTGGCCAGCTATTTTTCCATGACTTTTGTAGGAGGATGTTATGACAAATTTGTGACATACTGTTTTTTCTAAAACATTTGCATAGTGTACTTGTTTCATCTGAGATAACCAGCACGTGGTGATTGGGAGACTCCCTCTGGATAGGTGACTTGCAAAGATTTTTCTATTTTAAATGTGGAGAATTAGTTTTAAGTACAAAAACCAAGGTGAATGCACTGTTCAGATATGCTTTCTTAAATGGTCAGCGCAAAAACAGAAATTTCCTGTTCTCATGTTCTAAATACTATGCATATATTTACTAGTGAAGGTAGTATATGTAATATTTGCTACAAAAACAACTTACTTAACTGTAAGTATGCATTCTGACACTTGCACCTAATTTAACTCCTGCAGACAGTGCTGTGTTTTAGCACGGTCTTAAGCAATAGGCTGTTTCAGGTTGGAATCTATTTTAGCAGTCTGTCTAACCATTAAGTTTTTATACATCCCTTCCATAAAATCTACAGAGAATGAGCAAAACATAATAGGCAAGACAGAGTATATCCAACTCTCTTCTTTGTAAGAGGATTTATATTTCTGGGGAATCCAAGAAGTTTAGTCATTGGCTGTATTAACACTGTTAGCTACTGTAAAAACACTGAATGTTTGCAGTGTGTGATAGTAAAGAGAATGAGGATGATTACGTGGGGTTTTTTTTTTTGTTTTGTTTTTTTGTTTTTTTTTTTCTCTCTCAATATATGTGGGGGATCTGGAAGAAGCATGATTTGGAAGACATACTAGCTCAGATTCTGGGGTGAGCTAAGCAATATTTGTAGTGAATGAACTTAAATACAAGGCATAAACACGCAGTTCATGGTCATGAAATTAGTGCGTGCAGAGCACTGATGTGCAGGAAGAAGAAGGTGAAAAAGATACCTGCCTTGATAGTTCTGTCCTTTAGAAGTGACCTGTGCACGGCTAAATCTGTCCTGCTTCAGTATTGCTTTCTTATTAACTGGTCAGCTGTGCGAGAGGTATGGGTTCTTAAGGGATGATGTTTCATGACAACTCTGCATTGTTCTGAGTTGATGCAAACTTTTTACGGAGATACCTCAGACAAAGGTACAGCTCCTATGTTTTGTAAGACTGAATGGTGCCATCTTTGTCCTAACTTTTTATAAAGACCAATAGACATTAATTCTGTTAACTGTGTGCCTTACGTAATGATTAAAGTCTATTTTCCTCTTGTATGTGGTGTAAAATAAAAAATAAATGAAAATGGGAAAACCAAAATGTAATAGCTGCACTCGAGGGTGTTGCATCAACCCACTACATCATATCTTTAAAATGTCAAATTTAAATATAATGTCTTTAGATGACTTATTTCAGATATCAGTAGATAAACTGAAAGAAAAGAACAGTAACAGATTCTGAGTGACTTCTAAAAGCATTTGATTTAGTAGCACAGCTGAGTGGATTAAATTTTGATATCTGTGCAGAAACAGCAGGATTGTATTTGGACTAAGAAATTACTTGCTGGCTTTGTCACAGTTGACGTTAATTATTGATAGGGGTTTCAGTAATAGCGCATGTGCCAGCAGAGTTGACTGTAATATAAGATAGGAACGGCAGTGATGCTAGAGGGATTATAAGAGAGGGAAGCACCTGTAGCATTTAGAGTTGCGTGCTCTGGTCATCAGTCTTTTGCTGCAATACGTTTATGACTGATTAATATAATGCAAAGATGAGTCGTCAGGCTTATTTCTATCGTGTTCCTCCACAGGAATTACATAGAAGAACTCAGCTTCAGCCTGAGCCAGCAAAGACGAAGGCTCTTCAAACAGTTATTGAAATGAAGGTATAGTGTTTGCATGTTTTCCTTTGCATTATTTTTTGTAACTTGAACTCATGTACTAGCTCTAGCTACAATGGAGTTAGTTTTCCTTGCAGCAGCCTGCAAGGTACTCTTTCAGATTTGTGATCAAAACAGAGTTGTTAACACTCTGATATTTTAGTTATTGCTGAGCTATTCTAACACAGCATCAGGGCTTTGTTTCTCGCTCTGCTCCCCCAGCCGGTGGATTGGGGTGGACAAGCAGCAGAATGGGAATACAGCCAGGACAGCCAGCCTCAGCTGACCTGAGAGATATACTGTATGTTATGTTCAGCAGTAAAACTGAAGTGGGGACAGCATTCAGAGTTATGGCGTTTGTCTTTAATGTGTGCTTGGTTTTGGAACGTGATTTTAAGCATTTTTAAGCATCGTGAAGACCTGTGGAATCATGGTGAGAAAGATCTATAAATGAAGACACGCTTAGGCCAGGAGGACTCACAGAACTGCATGTGGTAGCATTACAAATGGCAGCTACTCTTATCTATGCTGATAATTTTCTGGGTGTTTGGTGTTGAATTGGATATTACCCTGTCCCTGCATTAAAGAAGTATTCTCTTTTGAAAATCGTACTTGTGGTTTGCCAGGACTGGCAGTGCTAGCTACAGCCAAGTCAGAGTAGAAGCACTGGTTGGTGGTGAGGTGTGCATTTCAGATATTAACTCAACTTTGTGTAATCTATTTTCTGTTTGTCAGTAAAATTCACTTGTAGGTTTTATTTTACTTTTATAACCAGACCAACAGTTCTTCATTCTACAGATTACTGGGTTTTCAACATCTTACTGAAATGTTTAAATGAGTGCTGAAAATCAACTGTCCTTATTTTGTTTTCTTGGTAAGACTTGGTTAAAAAACAGGCACAGCATTGCTTGTTTTGAGTAAGGAGAATTTAATATTCCTCTTTAAAAGAGTCAAAAATCAACATCAAAATGCAAAACAAAACAAAGCAAACAATGCACCTCCCAACCCAACAACAAAAGCAAGACCAACCAACCAACTTAAAAAAAAAAAAAATAAAAAAAATCAGGAGGGCCAATAATATGTCTGTTGATTGTTATTTGGTCACTGTTTTACATCCAACTTAAGGAAAGCATTAACTTCATCAGCAGTGTGATGCAACAAAATGTGATGAAACAACTCTTAGTCATAAGCACAATTTCCTCTTTTTGGTGTATAATATTACTGAAATGTTTTGTCTTTTCTTCCTACAATAAGAGAAGAAAAGCTTATTTGAAAGGGGAAAACTGATATTTTCACATAACTCCCTGAATCTGGAATCTGTCTTGAAGAAAAATACCATACACAAGATAATTTGTGAGTTGGCAGTGCTGTCTGAAACACACTAATGATGGTCTTTCATTTCAGTCTTCTTAAAAGGGAGTGCAAATTAAAGGCCTCACTTTGCCAGTGACTTCTGTTATGAGCAAATGAGTTCAGCATGTCTGGACATTGCAGTAAACACACAGTAATAACAGCAACAGTACTTTCCAAATGCTGTATCTGCTTTTTTAAGTAATCTAATTAGCTTGGATTATATGAACAATGGAAAAGGTGCATCAATTTCAGTATTCCATATTCTTTTATGTATTTCCCTTGGACCTTTACTGTTTATTCCAGTTCATAAGTCTATATGAAATTTCAAATGTGTGTTTTTGCAAAATCTTGTTATATCATGCATGTGCGAAAGTAAGGAACTGGCTGAGAAACAATTTTCTTTCTATTATTTTTCTATCTTACAAATTTAAAACTTTGGGGATATTGAGATAGAGGGTTTAGAATAGTTTATGATCTTCCATGTGGATTATCAACAGTTTAAAATTTATGTTTTCAAAATAACTTGCAATTCTGCTTTGTGTACCAAAATTCTTTGGAAAGGACGAGGAAATGCAGGCCAGGATGGGGACATATCTGCAATATCAAAATATAATGATATAGTTAGAGCTACTCAGCCAGTCCCTGTTCATGAAGAGCTTTCATTTGCTAAGAGTGAGATTGTAGTCATGATGCAGAGCTGCTTCTGGGCTCGGCTCTGGGGCATACAAGTCTTCCTTTTGCTATGACCATACACAGCTTTAGGATTGCCCTGTTCTAAAATAGGCCTAATATTGAAAAGGGAACAAATGTAATATGTTGAAATTCACATGTCTAAAAATCAGCTTTCATTACAAATTCCAGCTTGGGAAAGCTTGCAAGTTAATTTCAATTGTTTTAATCCAGACAACATTTGTTTTGAAAACAAAAAAAAAAACCCACAAGAACAAAGAAGCTGAACATTTGTTTTAAATAATCAAAGACTGAAGCAATGATTTCCCTGCAGTATTGAGTATAGGAGGAGGGAGAAGTTTACCTTCTAATATAGCAAACCGTGGCTTTACCCTGCCCTGTGCAGAGGGCCTGAGCAGGGAAGTTTGAGTGTCAACTGATATAGTATTGTATTGAATCACAATGAATTAGGAAAGGCATTCTGACTGGTTTTCCTCAGTGTAGTATTATAAAGACCATAAAAAGTCAGTGAATTATTCTCATCCATTCCAAAATGAATAACTCAGGTTGTAACTAAGGCAGAGAGCAAGGTTAAGAAGGTAGGCAACTTAAAGGTAGCACAGAATGTGACCTGGCTATAGTTCTGTGACTCTGAGAGGTTGGAAAACACGATCCCACCACTTCTTCAGTACCTTAGTTGCTATCAGCTGCTATGAGAGCGTTTAAAGAATACTTTTCATATAAATAACTTATGGCTGTGGAGGTTGCTGTTAGGTTAGTCAGTTCATATATTGGAAAGCGTAGACTTCTCTTACACAAGTTATTATTGAGCAGTTGCCTGCAGTTCTGGATATATTGCTTACAGTATACAGATGACATGAAATAGGAATTACAGTACAAGAATTTTTACTGACAATTAGGCACGTAAGGAAGACCTGGTTTAGTTGTTTATAAACTAAGGATGTTTAAGAACTAAGGATATCAGAGGATAACAGTTGGTTTAAATGTGTAACAGAATTTTGAGTAAGTTGAGCCAGTGTTGGATACTAGGTGATATTTGTTGTGTTTTATACAAGTGTTCTATAAAATAAGAAGGTCAGATTCCACCCTGCCTCATCTCTAAGAGCTTAATAAAGAGTGTAGGAGAGTTCAGTTACATTTGGCTCAGTCACTATCACTACTGAAAGGCTGTGTTTTCTTTCAGTGTCTGTGAATTAAAAAATAAGGTGTTGATAAACAGGGAAATAGGAGCCATCAGAATGTTTAAAATGATTATCAGATGTATTATAATGAATAACTTGAGTTTAGCTTTGTGTATAGAGACAGAGCCCTGCATACAAACCAAACTGTAGTCTGTATACCTACATGACGTATCTTTTATACAAAAGAGGCCTGGAAATAAATAAATCACAAAATACAGCATGCTAAGGTTAGAGATAGCAAGTATACACTAACATAAGGTGCAAATAAATATTTAACAGTGTTCATATGATTTTATTACTTGTGTTGCACAGAAAGCCAGGCGAGGGTTTTGTTTTGTTTTTTTCTTTTTTACAACTGTTGCTTGAGACTTTGTGATACATGATCAAATAACATATTTTTTCTCATGCCGAAGTCTTTGTTTGCTTAAGCAGGCTTTGCATAAGCCTGGTGTATTGAAATATATTCCTTTAATTGACATTGCACCTATGCATCCTTATATTTTGTTTGTAGGCAGATGTCAGATCACTGGGATCTTTGATTATGACTCATATCCAAATTGTTTACCATTCAAAATTATTTACAAATCAAAAAGAGTGAAAGGGAACATTCTTCATTATTTCATTCTTGGTGGAAATATTCCCGAACACCTCAATCAGGTCAAAATTTCAATATTTTTTTCATGTATTTCCAGACTTAAATCAGTGATTCTGAGAAAGTCAGAAATAAGATGCCTAATGATGAAGCGTGAAGCCTGACTGCAGAGTACTGACTATTCTGAAACTTACATACTCTAGCAACAAGAATTGAATTCTATAAAAATAGCAGGCTGTAATTCAAAATGTTTATGGTTTACCTTGATTGCAGAAAGAGCCACTTTTATGTATTGATCCAGCTGTGATATTTCAGGTATGAATTTGGTTCTGAAAATGTGTGTTATGTGTTTGCAGTGCAATATACTCCTATTTTTAAGACTGCATGAGCTTTCACTTTCCCTTGTCTTTGGAAATAAACCCCAGTATTCTCCATATTAGTTTGAAAAAGTTTACAGTAAGACTAGTTGAATATAGAATTTGTGTATATTGGCATTTACTTGCAAGTTCTAGTAAAAGTGATTTTTCATTTATTTGCTGCTGATTCCTTGTAGAAAGCCCTACAAGTAACACAGGCATAATTTGTTAAATGTATCTGCTGTTTGCAATTGTGTAAGTGTAGCAATTCATTACTTACCAATTCAGAGAATGAAAGACTGGTATGCTGTATTTTTTACAAAAGTTTTGCCTTACTTGTCCTTTCCTAAACGTTCAGGAAATGTACTGTCACTCCTTGTTTTTGGGGTAGGGATTGGATTTATAAGTTAACTTGAAACATGACTCATTACTGAATGGAAACTCATCTGTAGTAGCACTCTCCTTTGCATTGTGAAATGTTGTTTTCTTTGTTAGCATCAGGACAAAAACAAATTGAGCTTTGTGTTCCAGAGAGTTGAACTTCTGCTAGAGCAAGGATAGATAAAGCCCTATCCTCTCTTGCAGATTGTCTGAAACACTGTTTAATAAAATAGATGAAGTATCAATTACTGCTGGAAGAAATGGATAGTCTTACCAACAGAGATTTAGGAGGCTTGACTGAAAAAATGCAAAATCGTAGAGTGCAGAAGATGTTTGTTAGTACCACTTAATACCAGCATGTCTCACAATATTGCTGCAAAGGAATCTGCTTTGTGATTCAACAGACTAACTTAGTTTGTTAGAATGCTGCTAATGCAGATAAGTCTTAGTGGTTTGAAGGAAATATGGCATCTGTTTCTATTTCAGTTCCTGAAAGTTTGCCAGACCCCGTGCCACAACAAGGGCTGACTGAAAGTATTTCAATTGAAGTTTACTGTGGGAAAATGCTGATTCAGTGGAATCAGGAAATTTTTATGGGAATATGCCTATTCTGTCAATTTCCAGTGAAAGCAAAGCTATGTGACTTTCTGTCCTTCATGTAAGCCAACCCAGCTACCTCTGTGGCAGTACCCAATGGGAGCTCCAGACTGTCTGTGCTGTCCTCGAGCTGTGATGTTCCTTGCTTTCCAGCAGTTGTGCAGGCAGGAAAACCTTCAGATTTGATGGGCAAACCAGCAGCCTCTCTGGTGTATTTGCAGAATTACCAGTTTGTCCAAATGATAAGTGGCTATGTATAAAACCAGGATTCTGATGCATATAAAATATTCTGTGACCATTTTGTATAGCTGTGAGCAAGTTCTTATCCTGTTATCCATTTCCGAGCCATTCTCTTTGCATTTGAACTCTATCATGATAGACTTACTTGTTTGCTGTGGTTTTGACTGTGAGACGGAACAAAACTGTTGAATGAAAGCACAGTTTTTCCATGGAAGAAATACGGTTTTCTTCTGTTAATTTTCTTCTAAATATTGGGAATGAGATTTGTGTTCTGTAGCTTGCTGAAGTCATAGTATGGTGTTCTCTATGTTTTCTATGGAATGGGGCTTAATAGATTTTTTTTTTTTTTTTTTTTTTTAACACATGCATTAAAGGAATGAGATCTGATAAAGACTTTCAAATTTTATTTGACATTAATTTGGTTATGAATAGTGCAGAAAAGGTAAGTAATGATGTGTGGGAAACACATCTACTTGCTTCTACAATTAATAGTATTGCAAAGCCTTTTTTGAAGATGGCCTTAATAATTGAAGTTACTCAAATCCTTAGTACAACTCACTGGCAAGACACTGAACATGTACATACAGTCAGTGGGATCAGACTGGCATAAGATCACTGTACTACAATTACTCTGTGAGTAATGAGGGAGATACCTGAGGCTTTATCATATCAAATCATGAAAACCTCCAAGAATGGGTTATACTGCCTCTGTGGGCAACCTGTTCCAGTGCTTGTTCTCAAGCTATAATACTTGTAGGTACTGGAAGGCTATGCTTAGCCCCACTTGAAGCCTTCTCTTCCCTAGGCTGAACAAGCTTAATTTCCACAGCCTCTCCTCTGCGGTTATGTGCTCCAGTCCTCTTGCCCCCATGCTAGGCTCACTCAGGTTTAACATCAGGTTTAACATCTTGTACTGCAGGGCATTAAACTGATCGCAGGATTGTAAGTGCAGTCTAACATATCTCTCTTTCCTTGATCTGCTTAGTGTGTATGCTACCAAGGATACTGTTTGCTGCTTTTACTGCCAGCATCTGTTGCTGACTCCTGTTAAACTTGCTGTGTCCACTGGGATATTACAATCCTTTTCACAGAATCATGGAATCACAAGAGTTGGAAGTGATTTCTGGAGATCATCTAGTCCAAGCTAAAGCATGTCCTGTACAGTAGGTTACACAGGAAAGCTTCCAGCTGGGTTTTGAATATCTCCAGAGAAGGAGACTTCATGGCCTTTCTGGGCAGCCTGTTTTAGTGCTTTGTCCCACTCACAGTAAAGTTTTTCCCCATGTTCTTATGAAACTTCCTATATTTCAGTCTCTGCCCATTGTCCCTTGTTCTGTTGCTAGCTAACCGCTGAAAAGAGCTTGGCCCCAGCCACTTGATTCCCACCCTTTAGATATTGATAAGCATCAATAAGATCATCTCTCAGCTTTCTCTTCTCCAGGCTAAACAGCTCCAGGACTCTCAGCCTCACTTCATATGGGAGATGCTGCAGGCCCTCAGTCATCTTTGTGGCTCTCCTCTGGACTCTTTCTATAAGTTCCCAGCCTTTCTTGAAGTGAAGAACCCAGAACTAGATCAGTACTCCAGCTGGGATCTTACCAAAGCAGAGTAGAAGGGAAAGATCACCTCAACCTGCTGGCCATGCTTTTTCTAGTGCACTTCAGGATACCACTGGACTTTTTGGCCACTAGTTCACACTGCTGGCTAATGGTTAATCTGTTGTCCACCAGGAAAGTCAGGTCCTCCTCTGCAGACATCTTCCCCAGCAAATCAGCCTCTAATCTGTACTGATGCATGTAGTTATTCCTCCCAGTTGTAGGACTCAGCACTTGCCATAGTTGAACCTCATAAGGTTTTTGCCCACTCACCTCTAAGCCAGTCCAGATCTTGCTGAATGGCAGCACAGCCTTCTAGTGTGCCAGTCACTCCTCCCAGCTTTGTATAATCATGCTGAGAATGCATTCTATCCCTTCATCAAGGTCATTTTTGAAGAGCAGCTGAACTGCTCCCAAGGAAGTCAGTCCCTCATATGGATACAGGTGCAAGGACTTATTCTTTTCCTGGTGCAAGACTTTGTTTTTGCTGAGTTATCTAAGGTTCCTGTCTGCCCATTGGTCCTGTCTGTATTGGTCTGTTAGGTCCTTCTTAAGTATTTTCATTGGTCTCCCAGCTTGGTTGTATCTACAGATAAGTGCTTTGCCACACCTTTCAGGACACTAAAAAATGCCAGAGGTCCCAGCATGGACTTCACGATATTCTCCTTATTACTCTTCCAGGAAGAGAACAACCAATTAGCAGCTCTAACCCTGATCATAAAACCTTTTTTTTTTCCTTGCCAGTTGATCACCCATACAGATGGTAACTTGGACACAAGAATGCTGTGGGAGGTTGATTCCAAAGTCTTGCTAGAGCTGAGGTGAATGACAGTCACCCTTCATTCCTCATCCACAAGCATAATCATTTTATCTGTAAAGGCAATTGGGTTGGTCAGGAATGATTTACCATTGGCAGATCAATACCGACTGTTCCAAAATGTCTTCGCCTTCATGTGATGAAAAATATTGTACAAGAAGACTTCCCAAGGTCTGTAGTGAAGCTGTGCCTATTGTTCAATTAGTTTAATTCTTTTTGTCTCTTCTTAAGATGAATGCAACATTTGCCTTTCGCTAGTTGTTAAGAATCTCTGACAGTTCTGTCATGATTTTTCAAAGAGGGTGGCCTTACAAAGACATCAACCACTTAAAACCATTGGAAGTCCCATATTGGTCCTAATTGGAAGTTCTCCTGGTTGGTGGAATCATATAATTTTTTTTCCTCTTTTCTATTAATACGGATATATTTCTGACTCTCACTGAAGAGATTTATTCAATTTCCAAATGACTGGCAAAAACATCAACAAAATCACTGGATGCTGTCACAGCTGTGCTGGCACATGTGGCAACTATTGCCTGTGATACAGAATTTTTTTAGTGCTTGTGGTTTCTTGGGTTTATTTATTTTTGAGACTCATAATAAAAAGTGCTAAATCTCCTCTTGGTGATGTGGTGGAGGAAAACTGTGTGAGGAAACAACCTTTGTTCCCAATGACAGCAGGCAGAAGTAGAAACCCTGATGAAAGTTGCAAATTGCCTTAGACCAGCTTACATAATAAAGTGGCCTATCTTCCTGCAGTTCTGATGGACAAGTCTCTCTAGTCTAAACTTAGCCTTTGTGTTTAAGAGCTTGGAATTATAGCCAGGACCAAGTGGTTAGGAGTATGAAGAATATATGTCATCCATATGCAAGCGCAAAATAAAGGGCTTCTTCCATTCTCCTTTCATTCCTAACTGTGGAGGAACAAAGAGATGATTCTAACCAGGATGTGTTCTCTATAGGCAGTACAATGTAATGTAGGATTGTACTGATCTGGTGGGTTTTTTTTGTTTTTGTTTTTTTGTTTGTTTGTTTTGTTTTGTTTTTTTTTGTTTTTTTTTTTTTTTATGAAAGAGATGTAAAATCTGTATAACTGATTTCAATGGAATTACTCATGGTTTATGACAGTGTATATGCAATCTGTATTTTTACTATGTATTTTTACAATCTTATTATTTGGTATTTCTGTAAGTACAGAAATAATTTTGTTATGTATTAAATACAAGATTAATATAATTTCCAATATTATTTTTTTTATAATATAGGATACAAAAATAGCTTCACTTGAGCGCAATATAAGAGACCTTGAAGATGAGATACAGATGTTAAAGACAAATGGAGTTCTGAATACAGAAGATCGAGAAGAAGAAATCAAACAAATAGAAGTTTACAAGAGTCACTCGAAGTTCATGAAAAACAAGGTAAAATCTATTAATATCTTAACATTGGTTAAGTAATGCGAACAAAAGTTTTAACTAGGCTCTTTCCAGCACTAGCATGTCTGGATGTTTTCTATTGGCAATTCTCTGCTGTATGGTACTGTCGCTGTAGAAAAGTGAAGTATTTCAGTGAAATACTTCATATAGTTGTATCAGTTATATGTTAACTTATGAGAGGTAAGGAGGAGTCTATTCCAGTGCTCCTGCTGAGACAACTGCAATCATTAGTTTTTACACCATGTTCCCTTTTCACTTTATTTTGTATGTTTTAATGCTGGTTTTTTTTTTTAATTATTTCATTGTTTTGATTTGCAGCATTTTGGAACAATTTTATTTGTGCTTTTATATTTGATAGAAGTTTTACAATAAGGATTGCTGCTCCTTAGGTTATATGAAATTAAGGGTTTTTTTTTTGTATTTTAAAAACTTACAATTTAATGACTTTGTTCCTGCCATGTACCCTTCATTTAAAATCATTGTACATAGATAATTGGGCTGACAATCAGATTGTAAGTACGTAGTGGTGGAATACACATTTTCTTGGTAAAAGCCTCATAGTTATTTTAAAATACATCAGAATTAAAGCCTTGTGTCTGCCTGGACTCTTTACTTCCTTAAATTTCAACCTACTCAGCTGCTTTCTAGGTAAAGATGAATTCTCTCCAAATACACTTTCTTGTGAGTTCTAAAACTACTTTAGAAAATTAGAAAAACTACAGTTTTTCTAATTGCCTTAAAATTGTAGTAAATTATATATAATGTTAGTATTTGTATTCGTTTATTCCTAGTCCTCCACCTTGAACATTTTGTTCATGAAACAATAAAATAATGAATTATGGCTCTTGCTTAAAATATGGAGATGTAAGCTGATACAACCATCCTTATCTATACAAATTTAAGTTTTGGTAGTAGCTCCAGCCCTCTGATCATCTTCTTGTCTCTCTTCTGAACCTACTCAAACAGCTCTACATTTTTTTTGTAGATGTAGACTGTTGTCATGTCTGAGATTTACTTGACCCACGTGCAACACCTTATATTTGGACTTCTTGAATCTCATTAGATTCCCCTAAACCCACTTTTCATGCTTGTCCAGGTCCCTTTGGGTGGTGTCCCTTCCTTCTATTGTATAAACTATGCTCACAGCTTGGTGTCATCAGCAAACCTGCAATCGAGCAGACACTTGACTGCAATCTGTCACTGATAAAGACTTCTTGAATTCTATGAAACTTTTAAACTACATCATAGGAGATTATGCTTTCTTGGGACAGATTATGCTTTCCTGGGACATCTGAGCATATTTTAACTTACGTGGATTTACACTGCTGAGGAAATGGGAGCGTTAGTACCATGTGGAAATAATCCAATTTTATAAAAATAAAAACCCAAAATGCTGAAAATTCAAACGATGTATTATTTAAGTTCAAAAAAGTAGCTCAGTAGCTTAAGAGTAGCTAAAGTTCTGGTTAAATTTGAAGCAATTCAGTTTTACTAATTTACTGTAAAACTCCTAAAACATCTCAGCAAGTCAAGTGATTAAAAATATTGTAAAATGTCTATTATTTTGTTAATTTTCTAATATCTTAGAGACGAAGAGGTTCAGTAGAGATTTTTGTCATGCAGAAAACGTATGAATGAGAAGATTGTTAAAGATGTTTTTTCACAATCTTCTGATCTTTGATGAACGCCGCATTCTGATGAAATTTTGTCTGTTTTCTTTTACCAGTCCTTACTTCTTAAAGTAGGGATTTGTAGCAGAAGATATTATTTTATCATTCATCTTGGAACAATTCAAGGTGGAAAAATATTTATGTAGTTGTCAGCAAACAAGCCTTATACTCAATCTATTTAATGTGAGATTGTTGATAAATTCTGATTAAGAATTCCTGATTGATGGCGAAGAATGGAACAAAGCTCTTTTCACAGTTAGCAGTCTTAGGTGCTTATAAAGCTCTTAGTACTTCACATTTATTCTTGAAATATAACTTGCTTTGTAGCTGCTGTTCATTTCATTAAATGAGAAATGTTAAATGGAGGCCAATATAGAATTTTATTTATTGCACATGAAGAATTTTATTGACAGAGAATATTGGAGATAATTTCTTTAATAATTTTAATCATTTTTAATAATCAATCCTCCCAATTATTATAGCTTAAATTTCGACTTGCTGTGAAATAGAAAATTATAGAAATGAGAAAACTTGCTTTATGTTTTTTTTTCTTGTCCAGTTAATGTTGCTCTACTTTGTATTTGAGTGGACGGGTATTACCATTATGGTATTGCATTAAGGATATGATGTTTCAGTATCCATAATAAGGAGTTAAAGAAAACAAATAGAACAATATGCATTTTTGAGAGCTACGACTGTCTTCCCCCCTTTGAATAAGCATTCAAATATTTAAAGAAATATTGATGAATTTTACAGGCAAGAGTTTACACTGGAATTCAAGTAGTTCTCTGAGTTTTAGAGTTCTCATGTTCTTTACATGAACAAGTAGGAAAATCTAGTGACAGTTCAGTTCTGCTTTTAGAGCTGAGTTCTAAGAATTGTTAAAGTGAACTATAACAAGCTCTTTGTAATTAGAATTTATATGCAATTACTTCTTACGTTACTTGAAAGAAGTTAAAAGAAATATACTAAAAAAAATTACAACATTTTTTTGAGGACAGATCTGGATCTGTTATAAAAACGTAAAAAAACAATCAAACCTCTAAATAATGCACCAAGAAATCCAAACCAACCAACCCCCCGTCCCCCCCCAAAAAACACTTTACACCAAAAACAAGGGCTTGCACAATACAGACTTTAGAAACTACAGATAAGTGTCTAATTTACCTTGTGCAGCCACTTCACCTCACCTGCATTGCTGTTCTTTCACTTAAGTTTTTCATTCTAAAAAGCAGGTATCATTTGTCACAAAAACCTGACTCCTGTGATATATAAATCAGCATTGTTTCATTTAAGAGAATTATTGACTTAAAGATTTAGGCCTTTGATTTTAAGCTTTGCAATATTCAGGGAAAATGCTCTGATTGTTTTTGTTTGCTTGCTTTTTTCTCTATGTAATGTCACGTAAGACTTTTGCTATGTAAATCAATAATATAAGAAAAAGGATAATAATTGTATGGAAAAGCTAGTATCTAAGGAAATGACAATTATTAATTGAGAGAGAAGGCAAAAGAACTAGGGTTTCAGCAGAGGAGGTGAAAGTCATAGGGGGCAACATAGGAAAAGTGGCGACAGGCAAATTAAATACATGAAATAGGAAGGTCATGATCAGAGCTCTGTGAGTGCTGTAGTGCGTAGACTTTTCATTGTGGTCTTTATAAAGTACAAAAATGTTCTCTCTTTTTTTTTTATTGGAAGATTTCACTGAATCATACTGTTGATATTCTATACCACTTATTATAACAAAGTGAAAATGTCTGTACATCTGCAGGAAAGAAAATGGCTTCAGGCCATTCAAGTTTTGTTTTTTTTTTTTTTTTTTTTTTTTACAGGCTAATAGTTTCTGCAGGGCTTTTAGAAAGTGAATATACCCAAAAATAAAAACTTGTCTTTAGAAGTAATGTGTTTTTTTCCTATACCTTTCATATTTTTGATACGTTATTTTTAAAATTGAAGTTTTAGTACATTTTTATCTTTATTCTTTAATTAAACATCAGCCAAAGGAATAATTATTTACCACAGATTTTTTTTTTTTGAGAGTTATAGCCAATTTTTAAACTTCTGGCTATTTCTGGGTCTTGTAGCCAAAATGAAAGAACAAATGCTGTTTCTGAAACACGAAGAACATACCTGTGATGAAAATCAAGCTTTTGGAAAGAGGTTGATTGTTTCTCAGAGTGTGGGTTGTATCTTCGAAACAAATGGGAAGACTTTCTAGGAGAGATTGTGTTTCTGATGTTCGCGTAGGTCTCATGTAATGCACGTGATGAAATTCAGGTTGTCTCCAGATCTATTTTTTGTCTTCATTATACTGTAGACAGATTTTCCTACTGTTCATTTCATATACGTTTGTGTTTCAGTTTCCATATTTGATTACATGTTCTGGCAAGGGATGGAAGAAGGTGGTTTGCTTTTAAGACAATTTTCTCTCTTGCACTTTCCTAACTGCCCTTTTTAATATTTTCTTGACATCTGTTTTTATTATTATTATTATTTTTGTATGCCACTTTTCTTATTTTGATATTTCAAGATTGTGAAGATGATTAATGATTGTTTTTAGTTCTTGCATGGATTCTTGATTTCATACAGTAGCTCAGGGTTGGCTTGCCAAGTACCTTAACCATGTATGCAGATGTACTGAGATTTATGCAGAGAAATAAGGAATGAATGTATAGTCATGCATATAGAATATATTTTTGGAAGAAATAGTATTTTTATTTAATGTGTAATGAAACAAAATGTAGAAAAGTGCATAACTAAATATCAAAGACATAGTTTAATCAGCAGAAAATATTTCCAGTGACTGCACTATGCAGTATTTAATCGGTGAATCTTTAGAATTAAAGCTCAGTGGGATCAACATATGGGTATACATACATGCATATGAATACATACATACATATATTTTATTATTCTCTCCTTTTGAATAACTTATCTAGCCCTTCTAGACTTCTTGCATCCAAATGTCGATTGGGATGCAATTGAATTAAGAGAATAAAATCACTGTTATAGCACTTCTATAATCATTGCAGAAATGAAACTTGAATTTCAAAGGTCTGTAGGTCTACTTAAAGTCATCAAGAAAACTTTCCAAGTATAAAGGAAACAAGGTTTCCCTGAACTATGCAGATGTATTCAGGATTCTTATTTCAAATAATTCTCATGAGATGATCTATCTGAACTCATCTGGTGACCAGTATTACGTCATGGCACTTTAAAAAATACAGTTACCTGTCACCTAATTTGCCATATGTTAGCATCACTCTTTGTGTTGTCCAGTGCTTTGTTCAGATTTGCACATTCTAAATCTACCACTCTTTTGTATTCTGTGGCCACCCCTCCTGCTTAGCATTATGGAAGGGGAAGAATGATCACAGTTCCATAACATCTTTTGATATACTTTGAAATTCAGAAGCTCCTTCCTAAGAATCACAGAAACACCAAGGGTGGAAAAGACCGACAAGATCATCCAGTCCAACCATCCACATATCACCAATAGTTCTTTCTAAACCATGTCCCTCAACACAACATCCAAATGTTCCTTGAACACCTCCAAGGTTGGTGACTCCACCACCTCCCTGGCAGCCCGTTCCACTGCCTGACCAGTCTTTGAGAAAAGTAGTATTTCCTAATGTCCAGACTGACATAAGAACGTGTTTCTGCTGTTTCCCCTAGGATATGTTTTTACATGCAGTCTCACAGATGTTTTACTCGGAATTTTTTTCTTAACGTTTTCTTCAGACTTCTCTTAAGCTAATCTCTTTGGCTTGGCTTTTCTAGTACCTGGAATTCCGTAGGAATGGCCAGAAAGGAAAAATGGAGGTGGGGATGGTGGGCAGCAGCAAGTCTGCAAGAAGAGTAATGTTAAATTTCTTCTAATCTTTTTTTCCTCTCTTTACTAAGATGCCTGCTTTTTCTCATCAGGCTCCTAAAAGCCTTGATTCATTTGAACCAGTGATAACTTAAGTCACAAGAATCACGCTGTTGGAAGGAATAGGCTACTGGATTGAATTTATACTTTTATGAAAACTTTTTTTCCTATGTGTGTTTTCTATCCTGTCAGACTTACCTCACACAGGATAAATTCTTTTGAACTTAAGTGAGTTCTCTGGTTAATTTATAGGCCAAATCACCATATTTAAGCTTTAAGAGTTTCCTTTTTAATTTCAGCGAGAGCATGACAATCATTCTTAAAACGGAGTGCTTGAAATTACGTGAGGTTGTGACCATTTTAACAATTCGCATCTTAATTCTTATCCAGAATTTACAGGAGATATGAGTTACGTTATTATTTTGTTCATTCTCACTTTCCAGATTTCAAGTGCAACCATGAATTGAAAATAAAATTAACAATTAAACTGTTTACTTTCCCCGTTACAGATTGACCAACTGAAACAAGAACTCTCAAAGAAAGAATCAGAACTTCTTGCCTTACAAACTAAGCTTGAAACCCTTAGCAATCAGAATTCAGATTGCAAGCAACACATTGAAGTGCTTAAAGAGTCACTTACTGCCAAAGAACAGAGAGCTGCCATACTTCAGACAGAGGTATGGTATCTTCTGAACATAAAATGTGATATGAATGTTTAGTTAATAATGTTTATTGAGCTGATCATATTTGTTTGAAGTCTGTATAGAAGACAATTTGTTGAAGTATAGTATAGAAATAATTTTAAGCCCTTGAAATATCAATCTATTTGATACCTATATCTGTATTTATCTATGTATTAGGTCACGCACCAGATCTTTTTATCTAATTTATTTTAAAAGTATCTGTGAGTGCAATTTGAGAAACTGTGTCTAATTCTCTTTGGGTTCAAGGTGGAACTATGGCCAAATGGCTTGATTGTCGTGATTTCATTTTTTCATCTGTCAGATTACTGAGTTTGGTTTTGACTGCTCTGGTCTGATGCTTTTCTAAATCTAGTCTGAAGAATTAATGTCCTAATGAATTTTCAAGGAGTCTGTACAAGGGTACCTGATATTAATCTGTGGTTCTTTCCAATGCAACAATCTTTGATTTAAAAAGTGTAAGTTAGTTCCATTCTTTAATTTGGGTCAATGCACGAGTTATGTGTGTATCTACAAAAACAGATCATAAAAATATGGGGAATGGAATACAGGGTTGAGGTGGTTATTACATTTAATGGAATCCAGTGTTAAAAGCATTCAACAAACAAACAAACCCACTTCATAGACTTGGAACATACAGTACTATTTAGATTACTTCTTTTTATTTTACTTTAAGGTGTGTACCCCTTTCAAGGGCATAAATGTCAGTGAAATTCAGTTACACAGTGCAGCTGGTTTCTTTTCAGAGAAGTATGTTACTTAAAGTATGAGAGTCTAACATGATCTTCAACTGCGCAAATCTGTTTTGCAAGGTTTGTGCTACCTATTGTGCTGCTGAGGATAATGCTGAATTCCGGTGGCTCTCCACTAATTTGATTTCCTAATTCTTTATCAGATCAGCATGTATTCAAGACATCACAATCTTACTGCTGGCAGATGGGCAGTGGTAAAAAAAAAAAACCAATAAAATAATAATCATATAATCAAGCAGAGTATTTATTATAAATTGATATATAAGTGTGGAAGAATGTTATTTGCTTTCTTTGACAATCAAGAACAACAAATGCATTACTTGTGTCCAAGTAAATCCATAGATCAGAAAATAAAGCTTCTGCATAGCTGATGTGCTTATTGTAATGGTGCATTAATCACATATTTGGAAAATGCTCAGGATTTTAGCAAATTTTTTACCACTCTTTGATATGTTAGGGAGTTCTTCTGGTCAAAAGTGCCTCTTTCCCAGAAACTAGTGTATTACAACTTCCAGACTGGTTTATTGGAGAGATTCTGTTAAACTATGGCTATCCTGCAGAAATGTGCTGGAACCCTGAGCAGCGCAGAAGCTGGACAGCAGTCTGTGTAGATTGGTTACATTGCTTCTTATCACCGTTTAAACAGAACCAGAAAGAACATAAACTGCAAGAAGGCATCTCAGTAAAAATTATGAACTAGGGCCCATTCATGGGGTGCCAAAAACTTTGAGGTGTGGTGTTAGCTATGAGACGGTTGAAATCAAGCTGTCTGTGCTGCTTGCGTTTTGTCTTTTTCAGGATGGAACTGCCTACTTCTTTCTCTTATTTCTTTTGCACGCTTACTTGCTCCTTATATCTTTTGACTGGGCTGTGGGCCAAAATACAGCAATAAAAATTAAATAGTTATTTTAATTTTGCATTTCAGTTAGCAAATTTGTGTCTTCTGACTGTATTTTCCTGTTACTGAGATGTTTCCTGAAACATATGAAAATCATTTTATTATGAATGACGGAAATAAACTAGAATTACAACTTTGACAGGAAAGTTCATAATGGTGTAGATCTAGTAAATCTGTTCTAAACTCCCTTTTACCTACTCTTAGTTTTGTGGCAAGTCTTTTGTATAACCGTTCCGCAGATATAATCTTCATATAGCTCAGTTGTGTCTTTCTTTAGTACTTGTGAATGTCTTGTATGTTAAAAGGAGCTTCTTCAGTTTAGAGATTATGGTTCAGTCAAGGGAAATTTTATTTTTTGTGAATCTTTGTGGGAACTTTTACATTTCCCACAGGCTGTGTGTGAGACCAAATGTGATATAGATGTAATCCTATGTATTGGAAAAGGCCATAGGTACTTGGTTTCTGATATAAGCGTTAAGATTTGTTAAATCAAACAACAAAAAAGCAAAAGATCCTTTAAGGAAGCTTGTACTTCTCTTGTAGAAAAAGCGGTTTATGCAACATGAGAGCCAAGAGAGCTGATGGCACAGAGGGTCTTTCAGTGCATTAAGAATAGGGTTCAACTTGCTAAACACTTGAAAATGAGCAAGTGTGCTTTACATAGATGCACATGCATCCACCATTGAAGGTGGATGTGGAATTAAAATATGATTTTGTCATCTGTGCACTCTCCAAGACCTGGGTTTGAAGCTGAAAAAGCTAATCTGTACTATGGCTGTAATACAACATTGATTCTGAACATAGCAGGTTTTTTTCTGCAGTGTAGAATTAGGAAAAGATTTTGTCTGCTTATAGCACATGAATCTTCAATCTTCAGGCCTCAGGTCTTATCTGAAGGGAGGCTGTTTGGTTCCAGCAGTAGATGGAAAAGCAGCTGCGGGGAGATGCAGGGTGAATGGCAGCCCTCCAGCAGGTGGAAAGCATTATGGAAGGAATTTTGTACTGTACAAGGTATTGTTTGTAGTTCCCAGATGAGTAAAGTTAATAACTTATTGGCCTGCATTAAGCCCCACTCCTTTCTTTCTGCATGACCAATTCGTCTTTTTGCAGAATATATTTTGTTAATTATCACCGTAGAATTTCATGCTGTCCTAAAACAAGCTCATAAAACAAGCTGCCTGGGAGGGCTTCTTTCTAGAAGTAAAAGTAACCAGAAAAGGTCAGTTCTAATCCTGAGCTGAAGTGTTGCAGTGTTGACTCCCTGCCTAAACAGGATTACTTTGTAATCACCTTATACTAATCAATTCAGTTCAGTAAATGTTGTACTAAAATAATTTTTTTATTTGATCTTAATTGCTTTCTAACAAGACTTTTATTATTTGCCTTAATAATAGTATTCTAAGGCTGTCTTCAGGTTTTGGATGCAGCAGCTGCATGTGAAGCGATAGCATCAATATGAATGTTTCTATCAGCCCTTTTCTTCAGTCCCTCTGCCTGGCAGGATGGCCTCTGATGTATCCTCCCATCAGCAAACTTTCTGGGACCTTATGTTGCTTCCATCATCCAGATAAATAATGAGTTGAACAGTACTGGATCCAGTATTGGGTTTTTCATGATGTCACCAAAATGAAAACTTTTTTTTTCAAGGATAGTTTAAATTTGAGCTTATAATAACAATTTGTTTTAGTAGTAAAAGATGAAGTGCGAGCAGAGATATAATGATCTTTTAGTCTCTGCAGAATATTAACTACTGCTGAAAAGCATCACCAGTTTTTTCTGCGTATTTACATATAATAGCAGAGGACATCTGGAATTTTTGATGAACATAGTTAATATGCTTTGAAAAAAAGTAAGTGGAAAAGATTTCAGATACAAAGGATTTTTGTCACATGCTCACAGAAAATTACTAAAACCAACAGTAAATATGTTAAGTCTAGATCTAAACATGATGTGCTTTTCGTTCTGTTTTTCCATTGTCTTAGTGATGGCAGTGGTTTTTTTATAGGCTTCTTTGACTTAAAAAGCTATCATCTAAAGTTTTTATTGACGGCTGAAACAAAAGAGCATAATCCCGTAAAGCAATAACTATCATGGTGGCCAGAGTTGGGAGGTCTGAAAATAGTTTATTGCCAGGAAAAAAGTTTGGAGCCAGTTCTTAGAAGGTTCACCACCTCTGCTATATGCATTTCATTTTGTTCCATTTTAAGGGTACATATGATAATAGAGCCAAACCATGCAAACTTTTCTTACCCTGATGTGTATAGCCTTTGTTTTGATTCTGTGCTTATTAATGATGTGACAATGCTGAGGTCAGATAAAAGTGAGCCAAGGTCAGGCTATTCCAGCTACAGAATACTGAAAATGTCACTTCACAGAGAATTGCTAAAAGGAAGGATGTTAGATTAGATTTTCTTTGCCGTTGTGTAGAAACTTTATATGTTACAGTTTAAAGTGAAGTCTTTTAAAGAATAGGAAGGGGGTTAAATAGCTCAAATGATCCTTTTTGATTTAAACAAATTTGACTACCGTTACTTGGAAAAGTGAAAGATGGTACAGCTTGATGCTATGTTTGTATGCTGGTATTTAACTTCTGCTCTTACCATCAGGAAGAAATCTGATGTAAATTGGTGCAAATACATTCACTTCAGCTGTGTATCTCAGTGGAGAAAAATATTTCAGAATTTCTGAAATTCCTCAATTTCAGAACCAGCTCTGACAGAAGCTGCCTTAGCACTTCAGTGTATCACTGCTTTAGGTAGCATAGACATAAACTGGCGGATGTATTTTGTGGAATTGTGAAATCTGAATACCTCCACAAAGAAATTTTGTAAATTATAAGCTTATTCTTACCAATGGAGAAGGATTTGTAAAATCTGAGCATCTGGTTTTAAAACAGAAAAAATAATAAAATTGAAGAGGAAAGATGATGATAGTAGAGATTTATTGCAATCCATTTCTCTTTCAAAATGAATCTTTTTATAAAGAGAGGCTGGGAAGTCATTGACTTCTTGTCAATTCTCTGTGTAAAGAGCAGGTGAATGCAGACAGCGCCGAATATTTGGAATTAAAACCTTTGCTTTACTTTGTTACAATGTTGACATTTGTTATCACTTCAAATGTAAGGCTTTCTAACTTTGAAATAATGTAACAGGTTATTTCAGTCAGAAACAGCACATTACCTTGTTGTTTTATAAAATAATTCAATTAGCCTAAGTGGCATTTTTAAAGTAAAATATACTGTGATAAGATCAATTAAGCTTCAGTTAGGTTTGATTATAGTGAATGAGAATGATTAGAAAAATTCTAGTGCTGTTATCTACAATTTT